AAAAATCTTATGAAATTATCAGAGAAATAAACAAATACATAGAACTATGTAATATCTCAGAGCAATTTTAATATTATGTTCATATTTGCTTTCAAAGTAGAAACAAACAAATGAAATTTGTCTGGCTTGAAGAAACGGTTACATTATAAAGACTAAAACATGTTCATATCTACCTATGAAAACTGAGCTACTTTTAAAGATGAAGACAGGGAATTCAGTAACAATATAAATGTTTGGCTTCTGGTACATTTTCTGGTTTGCTCATGAGTCCATAGGTGAGTTCAGATTGCATGGGTGGGTAGAAGCTAAAATCTAATGTCAGCCATCTTCCTCAATAACTCTCTACTTAAAAAAAGATTCATTTTGATATATATATATATATATGTTTTTTTTTTTCAAGACAGGATTTCTCGGTGTAACAATCCTGTCTGTCTTGGAACTTGTTTTAGACCAGGCTGGCCTTGAACTCACAGAGACCAGCCTGCCTCTGTCTCCCGAGTGCTGGGATTGAAGACGTGTGCCATTTTTATTATTTTTAATTATTTGCCTGGGTATGCATCTGTGTGTAGGCACATGCATATAAGCACAGCTTCTTGTGAAGGTGATGAATACCCAGGATCTGGAGTTACAAGTGATTAGGAAGTGGAAACCAAACTCATACCTCTGCAAGAACGTAAAGCACCCTTATCTGCTAAGACAGTTCTCCATTCCTTCCACCTTCTTTTCTGAGACAAGATTATTCACTGCATCTGGGGCTTCTTGATTTGACTGCAGCCAATGGCCAACAAAGCCCAGGGATGATCCTGTCTCTGCTTTCCCAGCTCTGAAATCACTCATACACTGCTACTCCCACCTTTTTTGGTGCCTTCAAGGTATCCCAACGCAGGTCTTCTTGTTTAAAGAACAAGCACTTTACTGACAGACCCTTCTCCCCGGTCCTAATGTACACATTTTTATTCTGAATTATGACACATACATGTGTCTTGATCATCCATGTATTGCACTCAGACACAGAAACATCTTTGAAAACAAGTCAGGCCAAAAATTCTTCCAAATATAAGTATATGCAGAATAAGTCAGAGATACTAAAACTAAAATGTAGGGAGACACTGTAACCACACCTCCTAAGAGGTGGCTACAGGTGTGGCTGACCACGCCCGTTAGGGTGTGGTCAAGGTGATGTCAGGGTGACTGGAAAGGCTTTAAAGGGACAGACAAGGCACATGGTGGTTCTCTCTTGCCTTCCTGGCCTTGCTGCTTTTGGCATGCTCTGGCTTGCTGTTGGCTGGTGTTTATTTATTAAAGGTATCCTAACCTTACGGATTCCATATCAGTTCTTCATCGTTTATCTTCTTCACTCAAATCCTCGTTGATGCCTATTATTTTGGGTATTAAGTGTTGATTCTATCTTGTTATAACATCTTCACCTTTGGGAACAGTTTGTAACTCATTTTTACAACTCTTAAATATTATATCTGCAAAATGCTATTTGCCATAAAGCAAACATTACACTCTAGTTTCCTTCATTCTTCTTCAGTTCTTCCTTCCTTTCTCTTACTCCCTTCCTTCCTTTCTCTCTTTCCTTCCTTAATTCCTTCTCTTCCTTCCTTCCTTCCTTCCTTCCTTCCTTCCTTCCTTCCTTCCTTCCTTTCTTTCTTCCTTTCTTTCTGTAGCTTCCCCAGAAACTGAAACTAAAAAGCAAACGATGCTTTCATTATTTATTTATTTATTTATTTATAAAAATAAAATATTTACTGTATCAGGACAGGAACATAACAAGAGCACTTCAGACTGAGCACATCAGAAGTGGGCATGTCTGCAGAAAGGCATGATCTCTTTCAGGTCATTGGAGAACAGGCAACTGCCTGTTCATATCTGGACAAATCCCCAAGTGAACTGTAGATGGAGTGCTTTCTGTGTGCTTAGCAAGCCAGATATAAAGCCTTTATACTATGTGTGCGCACGTCACTGGAAATGCAAAGCCAGATTTTGGAAACACTTGGTATTTTGAGGGATAATATCTTATTGTGGTAAATAAAATAATTAAGGCCATGTTTTATGATTTCTATTTATAGACCTTCCTAACAACATTAGATTTTAGGGTGACTTTAGTGCAATGAATTGACTTTAAGGAATTGCATAATGTCCTCTGAATCCTTTTGTTAACTCTCCCAATCAGGACCATTTGGGGCAGCAAGTGAGAAAATGTTTTATATCATGTTAGGATGGCAGGGGATGTACACAGATATACACAATGTACAGTAAGTGTTCAAGCCTTAGGCACAACAACTTAAAACAACCTTGGGTTTTTGGCCTAAGTCTTATCCTATAATGCACTCTTTAGAAGAGTCCTTATATATCATAGGAACTCAAAAGATTGATATTAAATATATTCTATCATTGAGACTGATCAACTTTGTCCTTTCTTCCAGTAGTGGCTTTGAATATAAAGTATCTTAAAACCCATGAAGTTGTCAGCTACTAAAAAAGAAATAAGTGAAGAATCAGCAGTCAGCATTCATAGAGTTGGCAGTGGGAGCAGCCATGGGTATTTACAAAGGGAGACAGTGCATGCTCCTTCTATTTCTACTCCAGTTAGTTACTGCTTTGCATTGCAAACTAACCCATCTCAAGCTTTTCAGAGAAGGTTGGTATTGGCAGAAAAGAGCAATGTGGTGTGGGGTATGTGTGTGTATGTGTTTTGATTTTTTTTTTTTCATTTTATTTTACAGGATGGATGTTTTGCCTACAGAAATGCCTGTGCACTACTTACAGAGGTCAAAAGAGGACATCAGATACCATAGAACTGGAATTACCAACTGCTGTGAATCACCATATGGGTCCTGGAAATTGTATCTTGGTCCTCTGGAAAAGCAGCCAGTGCTTTAAACCACTGAGTCACTTCTCCAGATCCAAGTGCATTTTGCATTTATGCAGGTACATATGGAAAATAACATATATGAGAGGTTTCCTACCTTTGGAGAGTCAGAAGTCTTTGACACAAAATGTGGGATTAGTAGAAAAGTAGGTCTCATCATAGCTAAAGGGGAAACTTACTTAGCTATTACGTAACTGACAAAATTTACATAATTCATTTAAAATCCCCGTAATTAAGTGTCTTAAACTATAGAGCAGGGAAAGAGTAGAAAACTAGAAGCTTGGAGAAGAAGAAGCCAGGAAGGATGTATTCTGTGAGCTCTTCAGAAGAAATCCTGTTAGCATCCAAGCACACCTTGGCCCCCACCCCTTGGCAACCTGACCCTGTACTTAATGCCTTAGCATACCTCAAGAAGTACCCTGGCTCTACACAAGCACAGGAGGCCCCTTTAAGAGACGGGATCTACCTACTCCCACACTCTTTCCCAGGTTTCTCTGAAGAGGCAGGTAGATCTCTGTCTGTATGTCTCTCTTACTTCTCTCTCCCCTCTCTCCCTGCAATTCCCTCCCCTCCCCAAATAAAACTTCCTTTTCATTTAAGTTCTATCTGCATGGCTTCTTTCTCTCTCACCAGCCATGGGATTCCCCAAGGTTCCCCTCCTGCATATCATAACACTCTCCCTATCAGTTTCAAACCAGAAAGCTCCTGAGGTAGAACAAGTGGATGTTCTTTGTGCTTTTAAGTCAAACATTAAGTTTTTCTTTACCATTGGCATTTTTCCCTCAGAAAAGCACTGGCTCCTTGTAGAGAATCATTCCTTATGCTGGGATGCCTTGCTCAGTCTTGATGCAGTGGGGAGGGACTTGGTCCTGCCTCAATTTAATGCACCAGGCTTTGATGGCTCCCCATGGCAGGCTTTATCCTTTGCGAGGAGCAGATGGGGGGGTAGGTTGAGGGGAGGTCAGAGGAAGAATTAGAAGAGGGGAGGGTAGGGGAACTGTGGTTGGTATGTAAAATGAATACAAAATTTAAAAAAAAAGAAAATTACAGTCCCTATTAAGCTGCCCAAGGTGTCTTTGCCTTTCTGCATCTTCTTAAAATCCTGGAAACTGCTCCACTAGATCATGAGACTATGAAACTGATAACAAGAACATGGTTCTTTCCCTCAGCACAGATGTAAGAGGGATGGAAATCGAAGTGGCAACTTCAGTCTACAATTTACCGTGCAGCAGCATGTGGAATTTGTCTCAGAAAGGTATTTGCTGTCACTTTTAGCATTCATATTCAGTTAGAAAGCCCTCCTACTCCCCAGGTTTCATCTATCAACTTATGTTTCCAAAAAGAAGGCAGGAGAAACTGCATATTGATGCAGCTCAGGCTGGACTGCACCTGGATGTCTGAAGCGCTCTCTACATGGCTTTCTTCAGGGTCCTTGTCATATGAGAACAAGGAACACTTGGTGATGTAATGAGCAGTGCACATGTTTTTCAAGTCACAGAATGAGAATCAGGGATGTATGTTTTGTTATCGTATCCCCTGTGCTCTACCTTGAAAGCAGACCCACTTTTATGGCTGAAATAGGGATTAAAGAAAAAAATAGTCTTTGGGAAAATAAACAGTCAATAACTTTTCCATAAAAGCAGGTAGAGATTTATGATAGATGTATGTATACATACATACATAGTTATATATGTAAACACAGGTCCATACTCACTTATTGGCTAGACTTTCACACTGGTGATATGGTTGAATAATTATGGCATTATTCGCTATAAATGCTAAAATATTTGTTACATGATCTCTTAAAGGAAAAAACCTTAGAACACTGAACTAAAAGATGCTCTGATAATCACATCAGCTTTATGAGGACCCCCTTCAATTGCAACCCTGAGCAACTTCTAAAGTTTTGACTATAGCAATTAGCTTAAATTTATGGGGGAAATTGTCAAATATTCTGTTAGTGTTACTATGGAATAGGTGGTGCATGCTTAACCCTCCCAGTTGTTGTATATGTTTCCATTACAAAGCCTAAATGGCAATCTCTAAAGAACATTCTGGAAGCTAGATGCATCTCATACCAAGGATATAGATCTGATTAGTATAAACAGCATTGACAACTCACCTGATCCTACCCCTGGGGCGCTCAGATTGCTCTGACATAAAGCTTGTGCTGCTGAGGCGTGAGGCACTGCTGGTTCGGGAAATGGCGGACACATCACTGACATCACTATCTGATGACTTGGCAGAGACGTTATCACAGCTTCTGTACTGATCTTTATGTATGTTATACTAAAGATTAAAAACAAGAAAGGATGAGCTCCACCATCAGATCACAGAACAAAAAGGACCCAGTCCTTGAGGTTAATGACTGCTTAACCTAAAGGAAGTCAAAGTATATACCTCCTTTGTCAAGGAAAGAATGGAAGCTGACAGACATGCCAGCATTAGTATTATATAGGAATCTCAATAAAAATTGGACATCTTATCAACGGTGAGATACGACTTGTGAAGAGTGAAAACCAATTGAAGTGCTTCGGGGGAAAATCATTTTTCCATGCTTAGAACCTGAAATGGTATTACTCACTTTTTAAATTGATGTTTCATCATATTCTTATCTTGCATAACTTTACTTTTTGGACTTCATCTCTAATGTTTAGGAATCACCAGGTAAAATAAGATACCATGCAAATTTATCAAGGGAATTAATCAATTTTTATTTCTACTCAATTTTATTGTCCTATTGGAATGGACCATGCAGTAACTTTACTATAACTATAAAAAGAAACAGATTTTTCTAACTATAATAGTATCTAAGTAACTGTTTTCTTTGGTTTCAGAAGAAAATCACTATATCTGTTTGCATAAAATATTACAATACCTATTGTTTCCCACTAAGCAAGTAAATTTTAGATTTGTGACTAACAGAATGGTGAAATGCTTGTTAGTCTTTGGGGAGGTCACCTATCCTCTAATACTCTGTAACATGAACCTTGATTAATTTGAACTATCTTTCTTAATGTACCACATGAGTGAATTCTAAAAGGCAGATCTATATCTATGAAAAAAATTTAAGAAAATAAAATGTAATAAGTAATTCAAATAATTCCACAGATGGGTCACATTCATTTCACAATACCGTCTGTTAAAGTCCTTTCCCCTTGAAGCACATTAGTTTAAATTCTTTGCCTCTCATGTGTATAAATTTATCAAAGACTTTTGTAACATGAAAACAATATGCTATCATCTATCTACAACATATTTTCCAAAGTTTGTTTCACAATGTTAACTTTGAAAGCCATAGGTACCACTCAAACACAAAGAATATTCACATATGCTATTAAGTCTAGGGCCTAAGTAGTATTTAATATCAAATTGTAGGGCTCATGTATTCCATGTAATGTACTTCAGTTCACCAGCAAACTCTGTCATATGGGATAGATGATTCTGTCCAATACAATGAATTTCACTTAGAAACCTTTCTAATCTACAGATATGTAGGGAAACTTATAATGATGTTGGAGTAGAACCCGACTTCAACACTTTCAGAGTATTAAATAGAACTCCTAGGTTGAAGCTACTTTGACCAAGGATGTAGTAGGTATTCACTATGCCTACAAATAGTAGAACAAGAAATTATCTAGGTGTACTGTATGTTCTTCTACTATTTTGTCAACTGGAAACAAACAGCAGACAGAACTAAGAATATGGAAAGTAGCATGAAGACCTGTGATCACAGAGGGAAATTTGATCAACTAATGAAATCTATCTTTTCTACAAAATAACTCTATCCCAGATTGTTTGAATAGAGGCCTTTGCTCTTCTAGAAAAGACAGAATGAAACTGCCATTACATATTTTACTATACTGGGATATGTAATAATTAGCATAATTATTGTAAGATTACAGTTTCTTTGACAATAATGGAATGAAATGAAAGACTTTATGTTTATGTTTTTACTACATTCTTTTTTTAGATTTTCAAAAACATGTTCATTTCTGAAGTAACCTCTGATTTTTGCACCAAGCATGAGTGGTGATATTTCCTTTTAATGATTGAATTTTTCATAAAAATGCATTTATTATATTGGGGAATAAAATAAAATATCATCAAGGGGAATTTGTTCAGTCATGAATAAATAAGTCAAGCTTCCTTCCCCAGGAGGAAACTACTAATTACAGGGTTACAGTTTTTAGAAGTCAGTAATAATACTGCAGCTATCTCCACATACCATTGCTGTGCTCCTGATGGCTGCTCCAGGATTACAGAAACAGAATTCTTAAAAAGTGAGGACCAAATGATGGGGGATATCCCTCTGTATGCTGTGAATATATGTTTCTCTTGTTGGTTGATGAATAAAGCTGTTTTGGCCAATGGACAGGCAGTATTTATCCAGGTAGGAAATCCAAACAGGCACAGAGAAAGACAGTAGGTGGAGTCAAGGAAATGCCATGTAGTTGCCAAGGAACCAAGAGGTCCAGGCATCACCGGTAAGCCAAGACCTCATGGAGAAACACAGATTACTAGAAATGGGTTAACAATAAAGAGAGAGCCAGGCAATAATTAAGTCTGAGCCATTGGCCAAACAGTTTATAATGAGTAAAGCCTCTGTGTGTTTATTTGGGTCTAGATGGCTGCTGGCAGGACAGAAAATTCCATCTACAGTTGGAGTGTGACTTTATCCTCCAGTTAGTTATGACTTGTACATATCAGGGAGACATTTAACTCCAAAAAGCATCAAATTAAAAAGCATAGTGATTGATTCCAAAGGAGCAAAGCCAGCATGAATTCCTCACTCAAAGTGAAGAATAAGACAATTTAATCCTTTAAAAAAGACCAGGCTTGACAATGGTCTCAGAATCATATTCACTGGGTGATCTTTTAGCATGAAAAACACAATCTAGCTTTGTTAGTAAACAAAAACATTTTGAGTCTAGTCACCTAATTTCTCCTATGCTCAGATTCTTAACTATCTCATCAAATTTGTTAGAATTGATTTTTAATTACTTTATCTAACATATTAAGTACATAGATACCATAAAGGGGAAAGTTCAGAATTTAATATTTATGAAAACACTAACACTATTTTATAGCAATAAAAAATTCTTTTACAAATTAAAATGTTTTGGTTAAAAAGATAACCCTCCCCTGAAAATACATGGAAAAGTTTTGACCTAACTGAAACAGCTACTATCTACCACTCATTGAAATGAATGATTATTTTTTATGTAAATTCAATGAAAATGTCATTAGGAACCTTGGCCTAGAATAAATATTTTAATTGTGGCAAATATAATTATTTGATACATAAATAAAAAACTAGGAATTGTAATTTTGTTTCACACCATTTCATTTCTAATGTTCTTAAACATTATAAAGCTGCAGCTCTGATCTCACATTTATTGGTTATGCGCTATAACTACAGTGTATAATTTCATGATTGAGAATAAAATTACATTATTTTAAAGTCATGTTTTTAATGTTTTCTCTCACAGGCAGATAGAAATTTAGATGTGTATTCTAAATTTATATTTATAAATATTCATATACCTCCTATGTAAGTAAATGAAAACACAAAGGGGGCCCCTTGGGGAGAAAGAAGAGACAATTTTGGGGAGACATGGGTATGTGAGCATAGTTCATTGATGTATATGTATGATGTGGTCACAATGGAACATCATTTGGAAGTTAACTTAAAATATTAACAATGAAAGCTGCTCTTTTTTGGAAATTATTTTTAGTTATGTGTTTGCATGTGTCTATGTCTGGTATGTGTACATGTGTGCAGGTACCCTTGGAGGCCAGCATTGTTCCCTACACCTCCCTGAGATGGAGTTACAAGCAGTTGTGAGCTGCCTGATGTGGGTGCACAGAACCAAACGAGTTCCCTGGAAGAACAGTAATGAACTTCCGGTCTTATCACTGAGCCAGTTCTCCACCCTAAAACAATTTGGTTTTTAAGACACTGAAGTGCTATGAAATATGAACAAGGGTGTCTCCACAAACAAAGCAAAAGCATTAATAGATAAATGAGAATGAAAGCCATTGGCAATACAAAGCTTGAAGGCAGGCTAGACTTGAGTGTACACTTAGTGTTGTGACAACGGAATCAAGTAGTATCTAAGCCTCAAGTCTCTCTGTGAGGGATTCTACTAATTTTGGTAGATAAATTCTGTTTCTTTGAATCTTGGTGTTCACAATGTTGGTAAGTGTTTAGGCTGAAATAAAATCTTTTTCACATTATGTGGTGTGTGTGTGTGTGTGTGTGTGTGTGTGTGTGTGTGTGTAGGCATGCGAGTATGTGAAGTTCAGAAGACAGCTTGCAGGAGTTGGTTTGCTCCCTCCACCAATAGGTTCTGGGGACTGAGTTTAGACCCCTAGACGTAGTGGCAGGCACCTTTACTCAAAGCGCAATTTTGCTGACACTAAAACAGAAGACAGGTCCTTCCAAGATCTAATTTGCTCTGAGCAGAGAATTTGGCACCTTTCAGCAGGGTAGGTGACCTGGCTTACAAGAACACTCAGGATTTAGATGTGTGGAACAGTCATTACACAGAGTTTTCTGATGGGCTCACTAATGATTAGACTCCTGGCTCACAATGACTCTAACTGCTTTTACCCCAACTCTTTACTTATATCTTTCCCACATCCTATTCTGGACCCCCACCCTATTTAAGAAATCAAGAAAAGATTTATGGACTAACGGAAGCATTTCCCCAACAGGAAATTTCAGCTAATGGAAGTTAACTGTGAAGAAAAGTCTACCCCAAAAAATCATCCTGTTGTGTCATTCTTAGTGAATCTGCATTGTGAGCAAAGGAAAGCCAAGATGCTAATCAGCTGAGAACACCGCCATAAACCGGAAGAAAATGGTGTGCAGAGCTGAATTCTGCTACTTCATAGGAAGTCAAGGGTTTTGCTGACTGTCATGGTTTAGACCCCATGTGTCCTCCAAAGGACAGTGTGTGTGTGTGTGTGTGTGTGTGTGTGTGTGTGTGTGTATGTGTGTGTGTGTGTTGACTTTACCTTTTTAAAAAGGTGTTCAAAGTCCTTGCGTCATCTCTCAATCAGTGGGACTTCTCTACTGCTGCATTTAGATTCGTGCATCTGTGGTGTGATGTCATACACCATATCCAACTGCCTGGCTGGGATATTACAGGTGATAAACCATATTTTGTTGTTGCCTCTACTATTTGCATTAACCACTGGATCCCTGGCTCAAAATAATCAATAAAACTTGATTATTTAAAAAATAGTAACTTTGAGGCTTAATTTTAAGTTTAATGCATTGATTTGATGTAGTTTGTACTTATTTCAATTATTCCTAAAAAGGGTTCCTGATGTCAGTTTGTAACCAAGTGGAACCTAATGTTATTTTGAGCAAAATTTTAAAATAAACCAGATAACCATGCAAATGTTCTTCATATAGTATATGGTTGTATAGTTTAATTAATTAAGCATTAGCTACTACATTTATTGATATCTATTACATTCTTATAAAAATACTGAAATATAAATTAAATGCTTATTAGCACTCATGTCATCGTCTGAGAGATTAACACAGCATTTTTTTTTTTTTTTTTACTAAAGACAGATAAGTAAATAAGCAAAATCGTCAGATTTTGTATGGCTTTTGTAACAAATTGACTAGTCAATACCACATAAATACATTTAGTACTCTAAATGAACATCCCACTATTTCATCAACAAATGGCCTCATATATACCCTGCTTACTTTTGCAAATGTAACTAAGGACAAGCCTCATCTTTAATATCACTATTTTTCTCATTGGAGAGATTACTAAATGTAATGAGTAATATCTCAATGTGATTAACATTCTGAAAATAAAAAGGTGTAGAAGAGATTTGTCAAGCTGTATGAACAACTATAATGCAAGACTAATATTCCATGACAATTTCACTTACATGCTCAGTGTTCTATAATTTTGTGATACACAAGCATGAACACACACACACACACACACACACACACACACACACACACCTAGTGTATATATTCTATTTCTCAAGGGGACACTATTGGTTGGATACTCTAATTTTACCTTGGAATATTGCTCGCGATCAAGTTCTTGGCTAGACCCAGACCCTGCTGTCTGCTTAAACCGGTGAACTTTCATTTTCATCTGTCTTGTTCGCTCCTCCACTACTAAGCTTGCTGCAAAAACACATAATGGAAGCCCATTAAAACACATGAAGCACCTTTTGAGGAAATGACTGGTTTAAGATTTCAAAGCTTTTGAAATGTTTTGAACTCAACAAAATTTAGAAATCAACCACGATTAATCGGTTAAACAAAATACAGAATAGACATCACTCACAACTGTTAATCTAAAGGTGAACACGATTCCAATTACACAGAATGGGGAACACAAATGCTAGTAACAAAATAATAAGCACCCTATTTCTTCACCTGATGTGAAATATTTACAACTCTCTTCATAGGCAATTATGTGGAATCAACATTAATTGTAAAATGGTGTTTTCTACATATTCAGCTAGGGGCTGCTGATTATCTATAAACAAATCAGCACACTGAACACGCCACACAGATGTATGCTCATGTCTGCAAGCATGCACACCCACTTGGTATCATCAGTTAAAGAGAAGTCTCTTGAAAACTATTTTATTGACAATCATCTACTCTTGGAGGTATTCTTCCTATATTATGAATTTTGACCAGTAGCTTCTGATGAATATTTGCTGCCTATAAAAATGGACTTTAGACAAAAGAAAAACTTTCCACATCTCATGGCTTGCATGAGCCACATAGAGAGAGCTCATGAATTTTGAAAATGATATGCTCTAATTGTTAGCTCTTTTACAATATAATATATACAGAAATGTATTCTACTTAATGCTTTATTATGGTAAGAAACAAGTGTGATAGAGGGCAAGACTGTAACCTTCAATCTGACTAAAGCCAGAATCCATCACAATCTAGCTTGAAAACTTTTGTCTCTTAATTTTTGTGTTTTTTACAAATGGAAGGGAATGAGGCAAGGCTATAATTGTGTGTACAATATTCAAAAGCTCATAACTGTGCTGAGTAAGGCCTAAATTAGTTTTGGTTACAACTTATTATCAATTTCCTAGAGCGCTTAACCACTCAAACAAGTTTAAACTGTACTTATAAAGTAGAGTGTGTGTGTGTGTGTGTGTGTGTGTGTGTGTGTGTGTGTATCAAAATGTCTACATGACCTTTGTACTATTCAGCTTCTAAACAATATGCTAAGGTGTGTTTTAAGGTGTGAATGGGAGTGTATGCATACATGTATGCGTGTATGGATGAGAATATGTTGGACACTTCAGCTTCAGTATTTGAGTCATAATTTTAATCACACCAGCACCATTTTAAATTATGCCTTATTGAAGTCAGTAAACTAGACAAACCCATTCTACTACAGCAGAGTTCTGAAAATTAACCAACGGCACACATTTGCTTTGAATGTTTTCCTAAGAGACACTACACAGTGATTGCCTTTAACTAGAAGACATTTAACAAACAGCTTAAGAAAAGTCACTGAGAAGTTTGTTAGTTATTTGACAGCACACAGAGCCAAGGACGGTACTTAGGAACTGCAATGAAGTTATGAAAATTAAGATTTCCATGTACAGAATGCCATAAACAGTACAGAAAGCCATATGTAAGTATATCTTCTTTCTGCCCTCCATCCATGTCATAAATATCTCCTGGCACCATATTTTTTTCCATTTCCTTTGAGTTTTAGGGAACTTTAAAAAACTGTAGCTGTACTGTATAAATAAATCTTAAAGCAATGCAATGTAATCTCAATTTCATAGCTAATTAAATGTTAGTTTAATATCCTCACCAAATACATTAACTTTTAAAGAACTTTTATAACATTTGTTAGACTAAAGTTTTGTTATATTTTCATTTAGTACTTTGTAGTTCTTAATATTGCTTGCCAGAAAGTACAGTCCTGAAACGCCTAGGAGCAATCTCAGTGGGTGAAATTTGCCACCCCACTCCCTTTTTGTAAGTAGGGTTACATTACCTTATGGTGTCTGCACTTGAATATTCATTTTGCAAAACTTCAAGTTGTACCCAACTAATATACCAGTAACAAGTGAACTGGATGTAAGCACCATTTTCAGAGACTTTATTCCTAGTTTCTGAAAATTCTCTGCATACTGCACTTATTCACAAGAAAGTTTAAGAAAACAACGTTTACATTGTTGTAATCACCAGGATGAAAGCAATCTCCAAATTAATATTATGACCTGAGATCCACAGTAGACCCATTCAACTTTTCAGCAAATACAGCTGTCATGCCATCTCCATGGTTTGAGCTGAGATTCCAAACAGAAGCCAAATTCAAATGAACCTGATTATTTATTTGAGCAATCAGAAGGTAGTATAATTGCATCATTGCATCATGTTGCTCAGATTCCTTCTGTGTGTCCTCTTTTTGATGGCACTTATGCATTAATGTAGTACTATGAAGTAACTCTTTGTATGCATTGTCACAGGGCATTGAAAGGCTACTTTATAATCACACCACTGGTGTGAGTGCTGCTTAAATTTTCTACTTTCATTTCTCAAATGCACACTGTGAAATGAAATGACACTCTAGATAGGTTATAAACATGAAAACCTAACTTTCTCAAACTTCAACCCTAAAATATGAGTCCATTAATATCTGTTATTAATAGGAAGAACAACAGAAATAATCAGAACCAAACTATGTCCTTGAAATAATAAAATCCCTCAATTACTTTGATATAAACCAAAATAACCACTTATCAACAAATTTCCAATATTTTAATTTTGAAAGGAAAAATGATTCCTCATCAGTTTAAGGGCTCCACTCTTTTATCAATTTTAACTCTAATCACAAAATTTAAATCCGAAATAAAAGACTTTACAGAACCAATTGAGACCCTTGCATTAAATTACATTTTAAGACAATCTGAGTGTTTGTAGCAAATTAAACTAACACAAAGATTAAAAGGCAAATTATCAGTTAGTTAAAAAAAATTAAGGTCTTCACGGGTATTGTCTTTCATACCTGTGAGATATTAGAATGAAATAATTATTATTGATGACAACAGTATTATTTAGTTTTAATAACCATTTGGATTTTATATCATATTCAAAAGAGAAGGGAATTTAAAATAGACTAACTATAATTGTAGATAGCTCATTGAAGTTTGTTATAGTGCATTAAATAATTCATCCCCTGAGATCTCCTGGCTAAACTGGGAGCATAGGGGTGGTAGAAGGGAGGGAATAAGGGATGAGAACATGAGGGAACCAGATAGTCGAGGTGCTGGAGGGAAGGAATAGGTGAGCAAGGCTGAGTTCAGGGAGTCCAGTCAAAGAGAGGGAAGAGGTTATAGATAAGTGAGGGGGGGTGGGTTCAAGATCTTGGTGGGGAAAAACCTTCAGAGATAGTTGACCTAGTTCATGGGAGTTCAGGGACTCTCTAGACTGACAGCTGTGGAGCCCGCATGGAATTGAACTAGGCCCTCTGCATGTGGGTGACAGTTTTGTTGCTTGCTCTGGCAGTGGGACCAAGATCCATCCCCGATGCACGTAGTGGCCGTTTGGAGCCATTCCCTGTGGTGGGATGCCCTGCTCATCCTTGATGCAGTGGGGAGGTGTTTTGTGCCAGGCTTTGTTGACACCCCATGGTTTGGAGGGGAGGTAGGGTGGGCAGGAGGAGGGGGAGGGAAAGGAGAGGGAACTGTGGTTGGTATGTACAATGAATAATATGTATTTTCTGAAGTTTCTAAGATGTAGTTAACATTGCATTTTTATTAAAGTGCTTTCCTGAGGAGTTAAATGGCTGAAATCTGTCCCACTAATTAAAGCCTCAGTTCTATGCTTATGCTGGATAAACTGTGGCTCAACACAAGCATATGTTGATGTGCAGACCTGTACAGAAGAAAATCATGTTTCTTTACACCAATGTCTTGTTCCTTGTTCTGTGCAAATTGAAGAATCTTTTTCAAACTAATGCTGGTCAAAAAATGCCATCAAGAATAGACAAAAGCAGGGCTTCATTTTAGGAGCCACACTTAGGATGCAAGTTCTCTTCTAAAACTCAACAAACAGAATTCCAATTGGAGCACATGGGGCAAGCTTAGTAACTGTATCTTACAAAACACTAACTATACTTTCCTAATGGAAAATATTCTACGGTTCTAAAAATAAGGACTTGGGTTAAAGGCATTCCTCTTCATATTATGTACTTTGCTAAGAATTGTTTATATGCCCCACTCTCCTGTGTGTGTGTGTGTGTGTGTGTGTACATCATGGCCTGGGAGTACATGTCAGAGGAAAAAATACTGGAGTCAGTTCTAGCCAACATGTGGCTCTTAGGAATTTAACTCAGTTAAGGGTCTTGGGCTTGTGGGCAGGTTCCTTTATATACTGAGCCATCTCATGGACCAACAATTCTTAACCTACTGAGAATGTGCAAATGATTTCAACTCATTCATAGTTTCATAATGATGTATGAATGTAGGGGAAATATATATATATATATATCTACCTCTCCTATTACTTTAAAAGCCAAGGAGTAAAGTTTTAGGTATCATTTAATTTTATTTATGTATAGATATGTGTCTGTGTTTGCACACACATATATGTTAAAGTGTCTGGAGAGGCCAGAAGAGGATCCTGGATCACCTGGAGCTGGAATCACAGGCAGTTGTGAGCTGGAAACCAAAGTCTATTCTTTTGCAAGAGCAACCACCACTCTTAAAAGCTGACCCATCTCTCCAGTTCCCCCCTGGAAAAATTCATTACATAAAACGTAATATTGAAAAAGACTAACAATCTTTCATATCTGCTAATGAGTATTGAATTTTTATATATCACTTCCAAAGACCATGCTATTTTTGAAATGTTTTTAATGTTATAGTTATGTATGATTAGCATTCCACGTTAAAGTTTTCATGAATTTGCAATTATGTAAAAGTGAATCTTTACCAATTTCAAAATCTATAAAGCTAAAAGCTAACACAAGTTTAAATTTTGATATTTGAGTCTGGAGAGGTGACTCAGAGGTTAAGATCACTGGCTGCTCTTCCAGAGGATCCAGGTTCAACTGCTAGCCATCTGTAACTCCAGTCCATGGTATCTGATACCCTCTTCTGGCCTCCATGGACACTGTATACATGTGGTGT